TAAACGTGCAGCATTGTTTTGGACAGTTTGAAGTCTTTTAACTTTCTCCAGTGATATTCCTGATAACAAGGAGTTACAATAATCGAGTTTTGATAAAATTAAGCTAGTTACTAGTAAAGCAGTATACTTGGTATTGATCAGATGACGTATTTTACTAATTTTTCTTATTTCTAAATACATGAGGCTGATCAGATGATTTACCTCAGCCGACATTGACAAACTAGAATCAAAATAGATGCCAAGATTCTTAACTTTTCTGGAAAATAAAATTTTTGCATCACCAATTTTAATGTGATCATGGTCAACCTCTTTAACAGACTTTGCATTGCCTGCCAGAATGACTTCTGTTTTATTATCATTTAACATTAATTTATTTTTGTTCATCCAGTTTTTCACTGAGGCAATACAATTTTCAGCACGATGGACAAGTTCATCTAAGTTGGTAAACAATGTTGAACCATAAATTTGGGTATAATCAGCATAGAAATGGTATTTTAAGTCATATTTAACTATTTCCTTGACTAGTGGTTGAGTATAAATGGTGAACAAAACTGGACCGAGGACTGAGCCCTGGGGGACCCCATACTTAAGAGCATGATCTGATGACTTAAGCCCTTTAATAAAAACAGATTGGTAACGATTTGACAGGTAAGAAGAAAACCAGCTAAGGGCAGTCCCGGATAATCCAAAAGACACTTCCAATCGCTTCAATAAATCGCTACGTGATCCTCAGTCCTAGGATAATTTACGTTACAGTTACAGCCTCGTTCGCCTTCGAGTTGATCTGCTCGGTGTCTTGAAGGGAATGAGATAATAACAACATGTACGATGACGCTGATGACGATGGAAACGAGGACGAGAACAACAGCAACAACAACAATAGCACCAGAACAACATCATTCACTACCACCCAAACACCACCACCACCACCATGACATTGACAACAACAATAAAGACAACAACAACGACAACAACAACGACAGCAACAACGACAACGGTAGCAACAGCAACAGCATAAGCCCACCAATACGCACACGCTTACATAAATACCCACACAGTGGGTGGTTGGCGGTTGCTCTGGCGTGGTTTGCTTCTTCTTTCCTATCAAACATCTATCGTCCTTATCTCCCCTCCTTTTTTATGTTTATTACTCTCTTGTAACACCTCTAATCTTCTGGCGCTCATATGACCTTAGGCAGTTGCGAGTGCCGAAAAACCTCTGCTGAAACAAACAAAATACCCACACATGCACACTCAAGCCCTGGGTACACACGCTGCACGCAATTTTTTTTTTAAAAGAAAAAGAATAGTAATACAATATAATAAAACTAAAAATTATTGCGTATTTTCTTTTATAGATATGAAAATAAACATTGCAAAGCAGTATATACACAGGCACGAACGTGTTTCATAATATACAGAACTACAATAATGCCGTTCATAATTACGGGATTCATGTGAATTTAAAAAAAACAAATCACATTTCGTTGGTTTTTGCTTCTTTCAATGTTATTTCAAAAGGCTCACACGGTACGCTTCAAGACATGCACATTGCAGTACAAATTAATCGAGGAAGCGCCCATGTCTGGCAACGTTGTTTACACGACGTTGGGTGCAGCCCAAGGAGCTTAGAACTGTAAACTCCTTGGTGCAGCCCTATGAGATTTTAAAAGTTCTAAGCTCCTTGGTACAGCCAAATAAATATGAAGCGTAAACACGTCACGCATCTCCGACCAGACCATGACGTTCTCCACACAATTCGACTCCTCATCATAGTGCGGGGTGCCCATTACCTGTCCCCGTGGTTTTATACACCCCGCATTTGAGCAAAATTTGATCATTTTTTGCATAATTTCTGATTATTTTCCTTTATCATTCTTTTTTTAAATTAACAGAATCGCATAATTTCACATTTTTGGGCTCAGTTTGCATAATTTCCGAATTTTTCTTGCATAAAACGACAGGGACAGCATTACGGGTGGGATCGGCGGGTCTGCTCGTGGTCTCAAGGACATTTTCTTACATCATCTCATGTCAAGCTGGTCCGTCGGAGGAACAAGTCGGTTCCCCAGAAGTACAAGGTTCTATCTGACATTTTGGGCTGTTTTGAGTTACTATGACCATGAGGTCAGAAACCAAATGGGCGTATCCCCGGCGTTTGTTTTTCAGGCGTCCGAGTCGGGAGATTGGCCCGGCCCGCCGTAATGGGCACCTCGTATCAGAATTACACCGTTCTAGCTGCTCAATACATGTACCTTGTTTTGAGAGAAAATTGACGTTAAAGACTTTAAGTTTCACAACAAGTCAAGTTTTTCGAATGCCATTATTTAAAAATATCTTCCTAAACGACTCAGAATAATTAAAAAATATCTTCATAACGACCCAGAATAATTTAAAAATATCTTCATAACGACTGAGAATAATCTTTTTGATTTAGATAGAGCAGATAGAACATTCTTTTGGCTTCTGACCTCATGGTCTTGGTAGTAACTCAAAACAACCCAAAAAATGTCAGAATGTCAGATAAGAATTTGTAATTCTGAAGTAGCGACTTGTTCTCCCGGCAGACCAGCTTGGAATGAGATGATTACGTAAGGGAAATGTCCTTGAGACCACAAAGAAGAGCTGAAATTATCAGACCGTGTTAATAAAAATGAATAATATTAATTTAGTTTTTTGGGGGGCGGGCTCTTAGACGTCTTCACAAACCACGGCCACAGATGACTGGTTCTCTTTGTGGGTGGCGTCATTTGTCATTTATTTATTTCGCACCGAGTTCTTTTTCAACAGATGCCAGAAATTTGGCTCTTCTTTTTATCTATTTTTTGGCACGGATAATTTCATTTGGCTCTCTTTTTCGGTCCCAAAATATGTTTTAAAAAGAACTGGGGAAAAAAAGAAAAGAAATGCAGACAAAAGCTTTGATTGCTGATATTTTTGTCCAATACAGAGCGTGATTCAAAGCCCTCGTCCACATTGGCAAATAGAACCCCTTAACCGTACAATCAACATGTAGCTTCGTATGCTCTGTTTCTTCCCATGTGTAGACCTACCCCCCCCCCCCCCCTCTCGATAAAGTTGAGAAAATGAGTACATGTAATTATGGATTTGTTCATTAGTTGTACGGGGTGCCCATGAGGGGATCGGGTCGGGTCGGGTCGGTTTGCTAGCCAGATGGAGGGCGCAAAGCGGCTATCGTGGCACAAGCCGATCGCACCCGACTCGTCGCCTCAAAAACAAACGTGTTGTTTTCAGGCGACGAGTCGGGCGATCGACCCGACCCACCCGACCCGACCCGACCCGACCCGACCCGATCCGCAATGGGCACCCGGTATTAGTTGCACTCGTGAAGATAAGTCAGTTACAGTCGATTGATAAATGAGTTCAACTTAATAATGAGTTAATAACTGATTCCAATTTTAACCCGACGAAAACCATAAAAGAATCGACAATCAGGTTTTGGGTTATTCGACAAAGAGCGCCAGGATGTGCCACTATACTGCTGTCCCCATGGTTTTATGCACCCAGCGTAATTAAGCAAAATCTGATCATTTTTTGCATAATTTCTGATTATTTTCCTTTATCATTCTTTGGTAAAATTAACAGAATCGCATAATTTCACATTTTTGGGCTCGGTTTGCATAATTTCAGAATTTTTCTTGCATAAAACGACGGGGACAGATACTGAGGTACAATTCCGGACTTTAGAAATTGCTTTCATTGTGTTAAACATTTTCCTTTATATTAACTTCTTAACTGTCCAAGTGGTTAGTGAAGTAGTGAAGTAGAAAAAAAGTCCATACACAGCAAGACGTTCAAATATTATTTAAAATACCCCAAATAGTAGTACTTGTAGGATGAAAACGTTTACAGAAATCTTCGGCTTTAAAAACCGCCTAATTTGGTTCCGAAATTATCATTTGTTTTGTCCCACATCAGAAACATAGTAAAAATAATCAATAAATAGAATTTGTATAGCGCATATCCCCGCTCAACAGCAGGCTCTAAGCGCTTTACACTATATTATTACCCCAGCAGACCATAGAACACTCCGAAACACTCTCAGCTTCCCGGGAAGCACACAGTACAAGCAGCTGATTAAGCGCTCAAACACTAACAAACTGACAAGATCTTTCGCTGTCTATTGCCGGGTACTCATTCCCACCTGGGTGAAGTGAGGAAAATTCGTGAAAAGTGCCTTTCCCAAGGACACAACGTCGGGCTCCTGACGGGATTCGAACCCATGACCTTACGGTTGCGAGTCCGAGAGCGTAACCACTAGGCCACCGACGCCACTTATTTGGCAATCATACTTGTGACTTTTATAGTTTATAGTACACCGTTTTCCTTCCGACAATGAGTTTCTGGAAGACTACAGGGCCTTACATGTACAGGCCGACCGGACAGGTTTTTGACCGAAGGCAAGCCGTACGGTAGGACGAAATCGAGGAAACTTGGTTTATTATTTACTACACGCCACAATCGACCTGAAGGTGGCCACACCTCGTGAGCAACATTATTCTACACACTAGGCCTAGTCAGGGTGAAACTTCACACGCGTGTGTGTGTGTTCCGCGCAATTTACAGATTTGCGCAATCGCTGGGCGTTTTTACGATCGTAAGATTGCACGGCCATCTTAAGATTGCACTGCGCGTTTTATTTAACTATGGTATAATTGCGCGGCAATTTTATACATGTGTTTTTGAAATAATAATTTAAAAAAACCACACTTCCATCTTTATTCTTTTACTCACATCGAGGAACATTCACATACGTTTTCAAAAGTGTAAAAAATATGAAAATTGAAATGAACATAAAATGGAAGAGCTCACAAGAATGATACAATGCTAGGTATCAAACTCAAAGGTCATAAAGTACATAAAAGAATAGATAAAGATGGACGTGAATTTAAAAAAACCCCAATTATTTCAAAAATATAAAATAAATCTTCAGATTGTCGTGCAATTATACCATCGTTAAAACGCGCAGTACCATCGTTCAAACGCGCAGCGCAATCTTAAGATGGCCGCGCATTTATACGATCGTAAAATCGCGCAGCGCATAGATTGCGCAGATCTGTAAATTTCGTGGAACATGTACACAATAGCTCGTAAAAACAAAAAAATGAGCTGGAATATAAAATCCTTAATACAAAACGAAACAAGTCACTCGGAAGCCATCTCCCTAATTTTGATACTCTGATTCTGAATCTGGTATTATTTTTTAAATCTACGACGTGATTTTCTATAATTTTGAAATAAGTTCAGTTGTCCCCGGCGCTGCAAACTTCAAAGGCCGGATGGCCGGACGTCAAATTCCCAGGCAGCGGCTGTGGGTTCTTTACCTCCGGCCGGCCGGCCATTCGCCGGGTGTTCGCCTACGGTTTGAGCCGCATATCTCGACGACACAGGACAGTTTTTGCCACAGCGCCCCGAAAGTATGGGTTGGCGAGAGTATAGACAACAGGTTTGGCGAAAGAAGACAAGTGCATGCATACGACTGCAAGCACCTCGAACCATCCCGGCACATCTTCGTAAGGCGTGAAATTCCACACAAACCTGGCCACCACCCATGGAAACCAAAGAAGCCAAGTGACAAAAATAGTAACAGCCGAAGCTCTGAGCATCATGTAATCGGGGCATTCTAGGTAATAGATCCTCTGTCTGCGAGGTTTGCCGTCGGTGTTCACGTCTGCCCCGTCCTCTATGTCGCTGTCCCACTGCTCCGGCTCCACGTAGCCTTGTGGTGTGAACACACGCTTTCCCAAACTGCCCTTTTTGGCATCTTTACGCTCTCTCGTCGGGTGTAGCTTGGAATGTTTGGCCGAGAATTTCGCCTGCACGTTGGTCAGTCTTGCCGAGTACGAATCTCCGGGGGCGTCCGAGTTTCTCTCCAGGATGATTTCTCCGGTGCCAGGAGATCGTCTGCGCGATATGAAGATCTTGGCGAAACAGGTCGCGAGCACGGGAAGGGCGACCACCCAGTAGGGTATAGCGTGGTCCAGGCAGAAGGTAAAGTTGAGCAGCTCGGTGTTCTCTGAGAAAGCGGCGGCACATTGGCGCTGTTCCCTCATCCAGAAGACGGGGACACTGCCTGGGGACAGGAAGTCAGGAAGGCTGGGTTAATGAAACCATTTCCCTTCTCGATCTGATAAAATAATGATTTATTATTTTTATTAACAGTTGTTTTCTGATTGAAGTTTATAGCTTGGCGTTACATCGTGCCAAAGCATCAAGCTGATGATGATGATGATGATGATGATGATGATGATGAGGAGGAGGAGGAGGAGGAGGAGGAGGAGGATGTCGTCTTAAATTTTACACTCAGTGGTTCCTGAAGAAGCCTCCCAGGCAAAACGTCGAGCCAAGGAGGAGGCAGCAGAGGAAGAAATCTTTTTAACGACGGGCTTGGGCATGGACAAGGCCATGGCTAAGTCGATGTGATAACAAAAGCACTTGGATTTGT